TAAGAATTTCAGTGTAAAAATTAATTTTAATATTTAAAATGTTGGTATGCATTTTTTTATATCTAAATTATTACAATAAATATAACAATAAGGTTGTTTTTATTATTTTTAGTAATATATACAGACAAAATGAATTGACAAGATTTTACATTAAGAATAGAATATATGAGTTTATATAATTTATTTACAAATGAACTTCACGAGCCTTTTTAATGGCGAATTCATCAATAATGTGATTGTAATCCATATCGCGATTAAGTTCAGCTTCGATGCATAATAAAGATAATTCGTTCAAACGTTCGTTTGTTTGACTGTTGCGTAAATGATTTTTCACTCGCTGTAATACAGAAAATGTTCTTTCACCCGAACAATTTGTTACCATCATGCATAAATAAATGCGCAAAGCGATATTGACATTTGGATACAAAATGACAAAATGTTCATCATGCAATTTTTCTCATAGTTTTAACGCTGACATTTTGCCTATATTTAGAGATTTTAAATGAGCTGCAAGATGCCGACATTCAATGTCTAATGATATTTCCAAATCGTCCGGATAGTAGGATTGTAATTTAAGAGCCTTGGTTGTTATCATTTCTGGACTTAACTCATGTAAGCTTGTTAAAAAGCCGAATTTATTATTTAAATCAACGTAACATTTGTTTCGTCTGTTTAAATCTGCCAGAAGTAAATCTAAAATAACGTAAAATACGTTAATATGCATGTTATCACTTCCGGATAATGAATTTAGATCATTTTCATTTAGTTCGTCATCAAAATGTATTTTTCGTTTCCGATGACGAACAATATTACAGGCATATTCTTTAATTTTACTTTTCTGTATAGCTTGTTTTTCGTAATTTTCGAAATTTGTTCGCATTGATTCTATATATTTAATTAAAGACTGATACAATTCTACTACAGTAGGTAAATCTGTATTTGTCGACTGCAATATTTTACTGACTTTATTGAAACGATCAAGAATATCATTCCAAAGGAGAGCTAGGAAATAATATTCCAATGAATTTAAATTTGTTAAAATACCTGATGCTTCAGAAGTCGTTAACGCTTTTTCTCGCGTATCTTCAGAAATATCTTCCAAGGCGGATAATATTTCATTCCAAGAAAGGCAGAGTGCATTGACAGCATCGTGTCGAGCTGACCATCTGGTTTCAGAAAGACTTTTTAATGTCACTTGACAACTTAATCGTGACATCAAAATATTCCATCTGCCAGGTGACGCAGAAAAAAA